TCCTGTGTAGAGAGCAATACTAATCTTTCTTCCGAAGACTTCTATAAGGGTTTAACGCGTGAACCCAGTATTGGAGGAAGACACGGACACAGATGTGCAAATGTCTTGCTGAGTTAGTCGGCCCTGCGCTGATTATTTTTTCTTCTTTCTTTGCCTCGGACTTTTGGCAGCTCAATCACGGACTGGACAATTGCTTGCGGTGCGAGTCATCGTTCCGTTGTACGGGGGGGATGTGTGACTGGAGATTTGCAGGAGTTATTCGTTCTTCTGACCCCCTTAGCTCTTCCCTCGGTCGACTTCGCTTTCGGGTGATGGCTGCCGGCTTTTATAAATCTCTGTCTGGCCGTCTTGTTCTGACCCTTTTGAGCGTAATGGCGCATGACATTTATTAGCCACAAGAAGAGCTGTAGCGTCTGAGCAGTGGTGGTATTCGGAGCACTACAATCATCAGGGTACATCGCGAGTTGTTTATAAAACCGGAGGTCGTCAGTTAGAGGGAGTTGTTATGGCCATGGGCGAGCCAGGGCTAGTGCTAGTCCAGTCATGCCCAAGAGAAAGTATTTGTGTGATAGTGGTGGCAGCTATTTTACGTGATTCTGAAGCATGTTCAATTGGTGTGTTGCATTGACCGAAGGGGTGTCGCGTGCAGCGGCCCCTACTGCATCGGCCTCGGAGTGGTGTGTTCAAGGAGCCATTTGGCAGCCACGATTACTTGGACGCGCGTGTGACCTCGAGGTGGTGAGCATTGAACAAGGAAGTTTGACAGCATTGCCGGCTGTCCGCTACAGATCCAAATGACTGTTGATGGAGTTGGCACCTGAATTCAGTGCCTCATGAATGAGTCGCCCGGCAGTTGACCTACACCCCACCTATGATAGTCGCTACCTGAAACGCAAGATTACGGCATGCGTCAGGTCAATTGCTTGCATAATACGTGGATCCTGAGCACTGAAAACTTCTTCCACCGGAACTGGGAAAAAGACTTCCATCAAGAGTACTTATGTGGCCTTCCAAATAGGACATGGAAATAGGAATACCCCACCCAAGTAATAAGGGCGACCATGGGCAGAATCCCAGGAAGGGGGTATATATTCCCTTGGCCTAGACCCGACACTGGCCCTAACACAAATCTAAACCGTAGCTCTTTTCTTAAAGTTACCATTCATCCTGTTACCCTTTTCTGGTATTGCTTTCTGATCATGTCTCTGATAAAGAATTCACGACGGATGTCAAAATGTCAAGTGAATAAGTGTTGTCCCAGCGATCGAATTTTCTTCTCAATTACTTCCTGGGTCTCGCATGTTCGCTTGTATTGACACCTAACTAAGGCTTCAACACGTGAACCCAGCATTGGAGGAAGACATAGAAAGAAGAGACCCTGAGGAGGAGTAGAACGAGGCCGCGATAAGAAGCGCCTGCTGTGTCGCCGTAGGATCGTAGGTTGTCCGACTGCACTCGAGTCCTCAGCCGTTGAGCTGGTCGTAGTTTGTGCGATAATAGCTTGCCAGTGTTATCGCTATCACTACGTGTTTCAGTGACCTCTGTATGACAGCATGTTATCATCGTTTTGACAAATGACCTCAGAGGTAAACGTACACTCCGTGTATCAGAATGGGACGTAGTTATGAGGTTGTTGTCGGTATCAAACGTGATTATTCGATACTGGAGACAACGTTAGCAGCTGACAATGTACAAAAATAACTTCCAGTCGCACGAAAGAGACTGCAAGTTTCAGTGGACTGGAGTGAGAGAACGACGTCGTCTTGCTCGTTAAGGATACGCACCATTCCCACTACCCGTAGGCTAATGGTGAGAGTGCCAATATCCCCCGACCTGAGTCGGCAAGACAACGAGTTCGTGGCTCAATGGTCAGGGCGTTTGGCTCTGTTTAAAAAAGGTTGCGAGTTCGAGGCTCGGGTGGCATACCACTTGGGTTTCGGTATGACCGGCTGACGACGGCTAATAAGCCAGAAATAGTCAATCTCTAATCTTCCTTGTCTTTGTCGACGTTATTATCTGAGGAGAGGCTTGTCAATTTAACTTTTCTCACAAGTGCATCCCAGCGATCACATCCGCATCTTCTCAACATATTTATTTTACCTTGAATATTTTTTGAAAACGGCTTTAAGTAGAGTCTTCAATGGTAATACCTATTACCTTAAATACACTGAACTATATCATGCACCACCGAAGGCATCTTGGCGAGGGCTGTTCATCCAAGTATGGGAGCTGGTGTCCGCTACATTCGCAATCATTTCGCAATCACATGTTCACCTCACCAGAAATGTTATGTTGTGCCGAAATAAACAGTCTGTCTTGTGGGCGCCCTTGGTGAAGGCACACAGATACCGAGGGGTGTGGTCGGACGAGAACGAACCAATGACCTTTAGAGTAAATTCCTTGTGAGCTATTGGACGAAATGTGCGACCAATCAGCGTGTTTGTATTCAACCAAATGACTAGTTGTCATTCAAAGACTTGAAAGCAGTCACCGTTGGGATAATTTTTCGAATTTTGCATTTTTTAACTTCCGTTAGCCTAGAGTATGCAGTCGAGTATAACTTCGGACAGATCAAACAAAGACAATCCCAGAGATTGGCACCTTTGCTTTAAGGCAGGGATGCTGATTAGTAACTTTCTGATGAAGCTGCAAATAGCACTGTGGTAAGGAGAGTGCCAACTTGAACTTGAAAAGTAGGCGGCATCTTGTATGCGCAGGCATGTTTTGGAAGTTTGCGCGCTGCTCGCTTAAAGGTGGCCTTTGAAGATACGCTCTATCCAAGGACACTTTAATTAGCAAGTGTTTCAAATCGGAACTGCAAGTGTTTCAAATCGGAACTAAACCTTGTGACCAATATTTTTGTTGATCAAAAGGTTCGACCGTTGGTGTCAACATAATTGCGTACTTTTAACCTTCCACAGAGTTGAAGATTGCATAGGCAACAGAATTTAATGGGACTATTAAAATTTTGCGAGTGCTCTTCAGTTGCGGTCTCTCGCTGCATAACATGAATAATGTAAGGAAGAATACAAAAACCGAGTTCGCACAGAAAAGTCGATACAAACAGCAAGGCCACAGAAAGTGACCACGAGGGCTAATCAATAATTTAAATAAGTTAGAACACTGTGGGAAGCAAAGGGGGGGAAAGTTTAAGGCAAAATGGTGGACATGGAAATGTGTTAACCAGGGAGCCGGATGTTACTAAGGCACAGTTGTGTTTACCACGTGCTTCAACATAGGTCGGGTTTTAACCGCCGTATATTGGTTGCCTCCAGGTAGCGCAAGGTACGAGTTGGTCAATTAAATTGCACAGATGGGCGCGAAGGTTCGAGTACAGGAGAAACCTGGTAGAGTACCGAAACAGTTTGTTTATTATCCTGAGCCGAAAATTGATTGAAACCCAGTCCCCGGGGGGGGGGAGTCAACCAATCGATATATCGATTTGGCGACACCTGATAATGGTGATTTACGGGTTCTATTATAGGCGTAGTAAAACAACTGATGGTCTCCTGAGTTTACTACTTATATCTATGGCATAAAACCTAACACGTTTGCAAGACAAAACTTTGTAAGCTAGGTCCGCTCTTCTTTTACCGACCATAATGCATTATCTCATACTTTCATTTACCTCAATTGCTGGAAGGCAAAAGAAAATTTCCTCTTCTCTAAATAGATATAATTAAAATTTTTCTAGACTTAATTAACTATTATTTTAAAGTACAACACACAAAACAAGAAGATTTGGTCCGCAGCGTTTAATAGCATAGGAAATTGCTTGCATATCAACAAACGTTGGATTTGGCCCCACTCTGCCCCATTTACCCCCAGTATACTCATCTGAACAGAACTCGTGTCTAGTAAACGGCAATTTGCGCCTAAAGTCTACTCAATGAACAAAGTGATCAACCTCCCATGTGTGTTAACTCCCCCACTCAAATTTTGATCTTCACATTTCTACTGTCTTCTGTATTTTACCCTGTATCTGAATGTCTGATTGCGTTGCAGAGGTCAGCATCTTGGCGCCTTCTCGAGCAGGCCGTGACGGACCAGACTTCATCATCGCCGTCCAACCTATCAACTGCGAGCCCTACTACTTGTTCGAAGCCAACCAGTCCGTCAAAATATATTCCTCAGGGCTCAACTGAATCTAGTAGCTCACCGCCCGGGACTGAGGACTTACAAGCCGCCGTCGAGGCCGCTGTCAAGGAGATCGTGGAGACGCATGAGAAAGCGATGCAGGCGATTGCCAAGCAAATGGGCTCAGTTCAGGTGAGCTGCGAGATGGTAATGCTAGCCGAATAAATGTGCACTAATGTACACGGTCTCGACCTTGACGGTTTAATCCACTTTTTTTTCTTCTTTTTAGGAATTTTACGCCTATGCCGATCTCCTCAAATATAACTACCTTATCCGAGATCTCTTCCTTTCCCATCTCGCCGAGATGTTTGCAGATTTTGAAACTTTTGTAATCTCAGGGGATACAGAGCCTGTCTTGTCTTCCACTTACCCATCACCAGACGAGAGTGAGTACTCCGGTTTGCAAGCCTTTGACAAGGTTGGCTTCCTCAGCGACTGTCCGGAAAC